CCACCAGTTCAGACTTTTACAGCTAGGATGCGCCATGTTACTTCCACGGGATTAAATCAACCTTATTTCTCCCGTATTTCAAATGTAAGGAGAAAGTTCCACTCAACCTAATCCCAAGAAATGCTATTTTGTGGAACAGGCTCCCATGTGGATGCTTCCCTGAACACTACAATCTGTACCCCTTCAAGTCAAGGGTCAGTTGTTATCTATTCTCCTTATCTACCGCTTATTCACTTCCTGACACTCTCTTTCATTGATGTCCCGCCAAATTCTTCGTAACAATTTTAACAGTAAGCCTCTGCCTTGAGTGACTCTCGAGCCATATTGGATTAACTTTACTATAAATTTTTTTTTTTTTTTTTTTTAAACTTGAGGAATTCTTGGGCAAAGCTGATCAAAACATTTTCGGGAGTAAAGGAAGTAACATAAAAATAAATACATTAGCGACTTTCAGAACAGACAACGAACACTTGCTTGTAAAATCAATAATGTAGAATTATTTCATTGAGGGCTACAGTTATCAGATTAACTTTTCCCAATTCTGCTGACCTTAACCCTAACCCTGCTGTGGCCTACCTATAGCCAGTTTGTGAATTAGTCGGTATCAGTCTTCATAACATATTTCAGACTGGGCACTGGTAATCAGTTGAATAATTCAAACAGGGAATGTTGGTCTCATGCCTGCATACAAAGCTGTTGTCCAAAATATCTTAGAGTTGGGTTTGTGTTGTCAACTCATCGACTTGCCTCCCCTGCCTCTTCTGAATGACATAGGGCACCTCGGCGTGGTGTTAGCAAAGGTTGTCTTGCTAGAACAATTACGACTGAGTAGTGAGTTCGATCCTCACTGGGTGCCCCTATTCTTTCAGCTTTGTGCCACATCTAAGCTACGCTTAGAAAATCATTAGCCATAATTTTGTAATTTTACAAAATAAATATCCTCTTCTGACTGGCATTTACTTCTCCTCTGTACTGCCCCCTTTAGCTTGTGGGGTTTGTGTATACTAGGGATATGCTCCTTTCAAGTGTTAGGTTACAACTTGATTTGTCTATGTGCATTGTAACAGATTAAATGAAGAGTAATCCTTTTGATAATCTCATCCTCTTGTCGTGCACAGTCAATATTAACTGAATCTCCAAGCCAAGGCAAAAAGTTTGAATGGGATTAAAAACAAAACGGCGAATACCAATTTTGACTAAGATCCGACCTACTGTTGATCTCAATTTTCATTTCCCACCAGAAAGTGAAAGTTCGATGTTTCTTGTTTTAATACGATCCTAACGCGATATTAATGTTAATTCAAAACTAAACAGTTTGAGGTGATGACCTATTTTCTGGTTTATGCTTGAATGTACTGCGGCCATGGCTTTCTGTTATCACCGTCTATATCAGAGAGAGCAGCATAGCAGAACCCTTACCTCATTCAGAACTGCTCACAAGAGGGCCATGAAACTGCAAAAAGCGGCTATGTGCAGTAGGGCAGGTCGAGTCCCCCCCTTTTTTTTCTAGAAAATCAACATTGCATTGAGTATGAAAGTTGTGGTTTGATGTAATAAGTAGTAACACCAAAAATTAGATTCGTAGCTTTTACCAATTTTTGAGTATTTAGTTTTAAGGACTTTCTGAAAAATATACAGAATTACCTAATCAATGTAGGTTTTTAACTTACAGACTTCAAAATTTTACTCCAGTGTAACCCGGATATAAGAGAGTTGTCAGGACCGGAGAAGAAGTCTCTTATATCCGGGTTTCTTTTATATCCGGGTTTGGTCTATTTTGTTTAGGTAAGTATGGGCTCTAATTTGGGACCAGAGAAAATCTCTCTTATATCCGGGTTTCTCTTATATCCAGGTCACACTGTATTTCAAGAATAAGTTCAAATAAAGTTGGTATTTTTTGTATTAGATACATTGAATGGAAAATATATTGAAACCAGAATTTTAATTATGAATCACCACAAGCAAAATATGCAGTTTTTATTGCATACGATAAATAAAAAAAAGTGTAAAAAAACAAACTGTAAAAGATTACAAAAAAGGCTACTCAACGAATAAAATTTCTAGCTCATTTGTTAGATCATAACTAATAAAAACAAATGGTAGATTTGTAGATGTGTGACAACCAGCTTTCCTTGCAGTAGATGTAGCTATTGATTCAATGTAGTTGTTCTACCTAAAGTCTGTCGGAAACGTGAGGCCAAGATGGCGCTGTGAGACGCTCATCCGGAGTCGAGTATCAGCTATGCAGGCGGTCAGGAAAGTTTCTCTGTGTTGGTTAAATGGGATTTCCAGAAGGGATTCCTTTCTCGTTAGTTAACCTACTTAGGAAGCCATTCCCCTCCTTTATAGGGAGAGAGGAAAAGAAAAAAAAAAAGATAGTTCAAGATTGTTTACAACAAGTCATACTAACACTAAATAACATTATATATTTAGTAAATATCCACTCATAACAGACCATCTGGAGGGTGAAAGGGATTTCCTTTATAGCTTTTTAGGCGCTCTCATTTAAATGTAACCTCATCCATCCAATCAGATAGGCTACAACAACAAATATAAAAACTGGTCGACAAAGAGAAACAGATTCCCTGTTTCTTACCTTGACCGACCACCATCAATCGCTTCCCCCCCTCCACATAGAGTTTCTTGGTGTGCTACAACAGTATGTTTTTTGCTCTTCTATGTCCACTGCTGATTTTCTAATTATTATCATGCATAGAATCAGTGAAACGACTGATGAAAATATCTCTTGAGTGACCACCCGAGATATTTCGAAGGCATTTAGCAAGATATGGCACAGGGATTGTCAGAGAAGAACTCTTGCCAATTCAACTTGCCGCCAATCTAGTCCTGCGCTTAAATGCATAAAGTCTAGGTACCAGACCCGAGAGTTCAGAACAATTACCATGAATGTATTTATAGAAAAGGCACAGGGAAACTACTTTAACGTGGTGGGAAAGTGATTGAAGCCGAGACACCAATAATATTGCAGATTCTTATATTTTTGTTTATATTCCCTAATAGCTAGATAGAATTCATCCTCTGTAAACACAATTACTATATAAATTAGATATACTTATACGTTTTAGCAACTGGAAGAATTTAGAAAACGCTATTATAGTCATATTGTCAACTGAAAATTATGTCAAGTACTGTCACGGGTGGAAATATTGATTTTATTTTTGTGGTGACAGATTCAACCATTTTCTTTTAATTTCTTGATACAGTTGTGTAGGCTTGCTTGGGAGAGTAGTAATTCTGTAGGAAAGGTAAATAGGGAAAAAATAAGGAAAAATGATTAATATTTGGATAATATTCAATGGCGGCACCCTCGAGGATTTTCCTTCTGAGTGAGTTATTTTCTTTTTTTTTTATGGGTGTAGCATTTTTATAATCAAAATTGTGGTTGAATTTATTTCTATGTATGACTAGTGCATTAGCTGAGTTGTTTTTTGTGAGGTCTCTTTTGTGCTCATAAATGCATTTTTTAAAAATTTCTACTTATTTCTCCAATATATTGGGAGGAACAGTTTTTGAAATTTATATTATAAAATGCCTGCTTCAGTAATATTATTGCTATTAGTGTTTGAGGATCTGAGTATATCCATAATGGTTTTGGAATTGTTTGTAACTATTCTAAGATTATTTAGATGGGATAGGTTATTCTGGATAGTGGACGTGACAGAATTGGTCGGTAGTATTATGTATCTGTTTTCATATACTTATATTAAGATTTTATTTACTTTTGTTTTGTGGGTTGAATACAAATATAAGGAAAAAAAAAGGTTAAATTTTCTAATGAATAATATCAAAAGGAAAGATATTTTTTCTGAGAAGATCTCAGACGGAAACAGTTTAATTCAATCATAAAAGCAGATATTTTCTGTTTGAATTTCTACGATAAGGAGTTATCATTATTTCCACTATTTACATTCTGACGATTGTCCTCATCTTTGTTGCTGTTGGTATCACAACGTTTCAGCTGATGTGCTCTCCGACCTTCCTCAGGTGTTTATCGATCCGAACTAAACCCTTTATTTAATTTAAGGGGAGGAGAGACGGTTCGTATTGAGGGATCTGAGAGCTGTTCGAATTCCAGTCGAGTTCATTGGATTGACTTACGTGCTAATGCCCCCCCCCCGAGAAAGGTATGACTCTATCCCCCCCCCCAGCTATGGGTAAATAGCAGGACAGACTGGGTTCTATAGACTTGGGTGTCAACACGTCTAGGAGAAGGAAAAACTCTGAATTCAAAATCAGCCCAGAGAGGGTTGGGCTCCGTCTGGTTATCTTGCCCTAGACACTGCTGCTCTGGCTATAGTACATGTGGTACCCCTATGATCCTCAGGGGTTATTGGATGAAGATAGACTGTTCTCGTTCATGTCTAGGGATATCTCGTCTAGTTCTTATTTTTAATACTCAGCTATTACACCCCCCACTTTTCATTGAATCCAAGTACATACTGCTAAGAACTTTTGCTATGTCAAAAAATCCACTAGGCTAGACGGGACAGTCTGTAGTTAAATTCTATTCTGATAGTTTCTTTCCCCGCATTTCTCGGTTGGTTGATTCGTTTTTTACGGTTTATCAACCCTTTGTAAGTTATTTAATGTCAGAAAGTGTCTTTAGATTGTAAGAATTTTTTTCGAGACAATAATGATTTAGGGATAAAAGTTTTACTAATTAATCCATAGTGAGTGGGGGAGAAGGGGTGGGTTCATACCTTTTTCAAGGGTATTTGAATAAGTATTGATTAAGGGTATTTGAATAAGTATTTGAATATAACAAACCTGACTGGATTTTGGACTATTCTCTCTGATTTCGAATTCCAAGCCATTAGCCATTTCACCAACTACACATGCAAGTTTACAACTAATTCAAACAGAAAAGCGAACATCCTTGACTATGGCATGACCCCATACTGTGCAAATGACCAAAGATCTGGAAGAATTTGGCTGTGAAAAAATGTTATCTGTCATGTCACCCATACATCCAAGCTCATAGCACCTGGTATTCCTAAGCGGTCACCTATCCAGGTACTGACCAGGCTTGATGTTGCTTAACTTCAGTAATCATTTGAAAATTAGTGTTTCAACATGATATGGCCGAAAGCCTTGACATTTGTTGATTGATTGATTTGCCTTTTTTTTGCAGGTTATTTAAAGCCAGAAAATATTTTTAAATTGTAAGAATTTTTTTGAGACAATAATGATTTAGTGATAAAAGTTTTACTAATTAATCCATAGTGAGTGGGGGAGAAAAGGTGGGTTCATGCCTTTCTCAGGGGAATTTGAATAAGTATTGATTTTGTGAATATAACAAACCCGACTGGAATTGGAACTCGGCTCACCAATTTCCGATTCCAAGCCATTACCCATTACACCATCGCACACCGAAGCTTACAGCACACGGTATTCTCAAGCGGTCACCCATCTAAGTATTGACCCAACTCAACGTTGCTTAACTTCGGTGATCGTACGAGAACTGGCGTTTCGACGTGATATTGCCGTAAGCCATACCACCCACGCACCCAAGCTTACAGCACATGGTATTCCTATGTAGTCACTCATCTAGGCACTGACCAGGCACGACGTTGCTTAACTTTATTAATCGTACGAGAACCGGAGTTTTAACGTGATTTGGCTGTAAGCCCTTTCATAATATGCATGTTTACAGCACATGGTATTCACAAGCGGTCACCCATCTAGGTACTGACCAGGCTCGACATTGCTTAACTTTGGTGATCGTACAGGAACCGGTTTTCCAACATGATGTGGCTGTAAGCCCTTTTATAATATGCATGTTTGCAACACATGGTATTCACAAGCGGTCACCCATCTAGGTACTGACCAGATTCGACGTTGCTTAACTTTGGTGATCGTACGTGATATGGCTGTAAGTTTCCGCATTTTTTCGCTTGTGGATCTTTTCCCTGCTTTTCTGTCAGCTACGGTCTTCAAAAAAATTAAATGTCGCATCAATCGCCATCTCCTGTCTCCCTGAATCTTAGTGGCTTTATTGCCTTACCTGGAATAAATGATTAAAAAAAAAACATATGCCCAGGCATGACTATCTTTTTTTACCTCTACATTACATAGTGATCAGAGATTGGCAGCTGACCTTCTCTTCCAATCTAGCACTATCTTCCCAGTGGGGAAGAAAAATTGTCTGGTTCCATTCAATGCTTAAAAAACAAACTTGTTACGTTCCATCACCGTCGATCAGACCCCGAACTACGCCCAGTCACAATGAACCGATTCCCCCTCGAGGAGTCACCGTACAGTGAGAGAATATTGCACCCTAAACTCACACCTAACCTGGAACCAGTACATATGCTCCAACGCTAAAAATGTAGGTAAATGGTCGGCTGCTTTTACCGCTCCAGTAAGTAGCTGACTCCTCATGATATCCTCTACCTTTATAAAAGCCAGATAAGGCCGAAAATGGCGTACTGTTGCCTTATTTGGGCGGGAGCTGCCCAGTCCCCACTTTCCAGTTTTGATAGAATTCAAAAGCGTCTTCGAAAGCGTAGCAAACCACCCTTATTCCTTCCGTATTCCATCGGTGAGAAGTAAGTTCCACTTGAACAGCCTCTTTCTGCGGACTACTTCCCTGTGGAACAGACTCCTAACAGGGTGTTTCCTCGATCACTACAATCTTAACCTTTCCAAATCTAGTTAACCGTTATCTCCCCTCTCTTATCCATCTAAACTAACCCGTAACGTAAACCATCTACCTTGAGTGACCCCCCCCCCGGCTCTTGTACGGGGCGGACCTTAATGTAAAAAGAAAAAAAAATCTCAGCCTAGATTGGTCAGTGTCGCAGAAGGATAATCCTGTATTTAAAATCAAAAGAAAAGCAATGGGAAGTTAATCCATCTTAAGAACAATCCTTACTGTTTATAGATGTTAACGGCAAAAGGAGGCTGTGGAGAGTTATGATTGTATACGTCCTGATGGGCGATATGGCATTGAAATATCTAAAGAATGTGTCTTCGCGTTCCTTCCATGCCTGCATTGGATAGCGTTCTGGGTAAGACGATAAACTACATCCGCGTCCTGGGTAAGACGATTAACTATATCAGCGTCCTGGGTAAGACGATAAACTACATCCACGTCCTGGGTAAGACGATTAACTATATCAGCGTCCTGGGTAAGACGATAAAATATATCAGCGTCCTGGGTAAGACGATAAACTACATCCGCGTCCTGGGTAAGACGATTAACTATATCAGCGTCCTGGGTAAGACGATAAAATATATCAGCGTCCTGGGTAAGACGATAAACTACATCCGCGTCCTGGGTAAGACGATAAACTACATCCACGTCCTGGGTAAGACAATAAACTGCGTGCGAAAGTAAGGCCTCTGTTCAGGAGGTTTTGAGGAGCGTGGAACCACCTCTTAATTGCTGGTATTCCCAGGTCCACTCTGACCCGGGGTGGTAGCACCTGTTAGGGTCCTAGCTATGGGCAAATAATTAAAGCCCGAAACTGGGGTCAAAACAGCACGAAAGTGTAAAAATAGGCTTTAATACTAGCAATAAATTTTTTGAGGAAAATTTATTACAGTGTAAGCCGGATATAAGAGAGTTGTCGGGACCGGAGAAGAAGTCTCTTATATCCGGGTTTGGTCTATTTTGTTTAGGTAAGTATGGGCTCTAATTTGGGACCAGAGAAAATCTCTCTTATATCCGGGTTTCTCTTATATCCGGGTTACACTGTACCTCTTTTGATTTTTGAAGAAAAAAATCTTGTCAGCATTAAATAACCCTTTCAGGTTGATATGCCGTAAACCAAACCAAACCAAACCAAACCAAACCGAACCGAGTGGATATTTGAAACTGTGGATACATTGCAAACTCTCTTTATAAGTCTTCTTCTCCAATGTATTCTTAATCCATTTTATAAATTATTCACAGTCAGAGATAAGTATTCATTACTAAAACCGAGTTTTTAGTAACAATAATAATGTGCAACACGATTTTTGTCCTTAGGTAGCAACTGTTATTTCCTTGTTGCTTACGCCTAGAAAGTATGAAAAATGTTTAATATATCTTTATATATAACTTTGCTTTCCTGATTAGGATAATAATATTTGTGAAATTTACTTGCTTAATCCTATTGGGAAATCTGGCGAATGTGAACATACTCGTTAACATAAGGTAAGAAAAAAAAACGACACCTGATACGCAAAAAGCATTTATTTAATCTAGGATCACAAAAAGGCAGACCACAAAGAATTTAGTAGTCAACAACGACTTGTCTGTATGTTGTCAGAACATTCTAGAAATTCTTGAAATTTTTCGAAGCTTCTCAAAATTCTTGAAATTTCTAGAAAGTTCTAGAAAATTCTCCTTCAACAACTGAGTATCTGGAATGTAATGAAACATAGGCTGGTTTCAAAACATCGATGTTCAGGTCAGAAAAGCAAAGCTTGATGGGAATAATAGTCATTTTCTTTGCTTTCTAGATAGAACCAACTAGGAAATAATACTTACTGACCGAAGACTTTGATACAATGTAAGAAAAGTTATGTGACATATTGATAATTTGTTCCTATCGTAGATCTTGACAGGCTTTTGATTCTTTATTAAATCAAGACTTACTTTTTCCCTTAAGTCACCAATACCGAGTATTTATCAAATAATAATAATAATAATCTCCAGCAAGTACCTGACTCCTCCTGGTATTCTCTAACTCAGCGTTTCTCAACCTTTTTATCCTTACGTAATCCTTAAAATAAATTACATGTCTCAAGGAACCCCTACGCAAAAACAAAATTATATACCATATCTTTCTCATTTTATTTTCATTTCACGTGGTAAATATAGTATATATTTTTGAATAATTGGTTTAAAGAAAAAATTAATACTTCTTTGTCAAATTATTCGGTAATCTCTATCTATAAAAGGCAGAATATATGTGTGTGTGTAACGAATGCACGGCCGCAATTTTCGACGGATTTGCACCAAAATTTACATGCACATGTTAGCGGGAAGTCCAAGACCGACTTAGCATTTCCCAACTCCCATCAATAGTGGAAATAATCGATTTTTTCATGATTCTACGGCAGTTTTTATGTAGTTTGCGGCCATTTTGTACTTGCCAGAGTGAGAGCCTATAGCTGGCTGCCACGAATAGGCAGGAAGATTCTATTGACCTGCGTGAGAGCCAACAGCTGACTGACACGAATGTTAACTAGCATGCAAAAAAAATCGATAGCTGCATTCGTCACAAGTGGAAAAAATTTAAATCTGCATGGCACTTTACTCCAATTGGCTCATTTGCTTGCTTAAACTCAACGTTGATTCTGATTCAGCAGAACTGAGTTGGGTGTGAAAAAGTATTTGTTGTTAACATTCTTTTTTCATTCGGTTCTTCCAGTTACGAGTCCTTTTTTAAAGCTGATCGTTTTGTGTTCATTTTGTTTAGTTCTTTTTTCGGAACAGATTTAATGTTTAGTATAGAGCTTACAAAAAATTTACAGTGTGAGATAGGCAAGAAGTAAGGCATGTAGCAACATCAGCACAGCAAAGGGCACTTCTTTAAAGGCAAGGAAGGGCAAAAATATTTTAAGTCAAGTGATAGCGATTGCTGTATGAGTCGTACGATTTTTGAATCAAGCACGGGCAACGCTGGGCCATGCTGCTAGTGCTAAATAAAATTTATATTGTTCGTTTGTAATACTTCATCAGGGAGTTTTCATTCACACAAAAAATTCTAAACTCAAAATAAACATAAGTAACCAATAATATAAATGTAAACAGAACGAGTAAAAATAATTGCTGTTTCAGTTTTTTTTATCCTTTACTGGCAATGTTGAAAAGACATAAGGTAAATCAAGGCAAAATGTCCTGTGAACCAATAAATAGGCTAAGAAAATGTTACTTTCAGAGCCATTTGATAAAGTGAAACATGCTTCTCTAATGTGAAGCCTATGCCTGTCTTTTGTTACACAAATACTTAATTCAAGGTCGAACTTTAGATAAACACACATGGATTCCGTTTTCAGTTGAGTGGAGACGATTTCTGTCTTTGCTCTTGATACCTGTTAAATAAGAAAAGGCATGCACACACTTGTAAGACGTTGAAAACTGCAACACTATATTAATTGCTTTCCTGTGAATAGTAGGAAACTCTCCTTACACAGAAGGTTAGAAAGGATGATGTCTATATTACAATATTACAATAACCAAGAATATATTGTATGTGTTTAGTAATATTACGTATATGAAATTAAACAAAAAGTCAAAAGTGCATTAGCTTATCTCCCCTGTTCTCGTGGAACCCTTGGTGATGTTTTGCGGAATGTTAGGGTTCTGGGGAACCCTGGTTGAGAAAAGCTGATCTAACTTTAGAAGAACGAGATCAAGCCGAAAATGGAGTACTGCTGTCATATTTGGATAGGAGTTGCCCAGTCTTCACTTTCCAGTCTTAAGAGAGTCTAAAAGCGCCATGTGGGTGATAAATTGTTTTCCATTCCCACAGACAACATGTAGCAGGCCTTTTACTTCACTACCCCTCTTTCCATGGAAAGTGGTTGGACGAAATAAATTTCTTAGTTCTACCAGTTGTAACCGTCATGGCTAGGACCGGCCATGTTACTAACATTGTAGCAAGCCAACCTCACTCCATTGGCTAGAAGTATTTACTCTCAAGTAGCTTCTTCCTACAAACCATAGTTCTGCGGAACCAACTCCCAAGAGGATGTTTTCCCGATCACTATAATATTAACCTGTTCACGTCTAGGTTTAAACGTTATCTTCACTACCTATCCGCATAAACAATGTCCTTTACTCTGTAACACTCTACATCAAGTGGCTCCCGGACCTTGTACAGGGTTAAACTCACTGTTTAATAATAATAATAATATTTTTATTTTTAATAATTTC